GTTGCGCAATACCCTTTACGACACATGTTCTAATCTTACAAGGTTAGGTTCTTGCAGTATCGCATTCTTGTGCAATATTCCTTACCAATTTTAATAGCGTGACGGGATTTCACCTTTTTTCACACGTAACAATAACATACAATTTGTTATAAGCAATGTGCCAAGATACAGAATAACATGCTCCAAGGGCAGGTTACTTTTGTTACTCACTTGTACATTGGAACGTACTTGGATTGCCGTCGACAGCGTTGCTAGCAGCGTATACGCCTTGATAAGTGCTACTTTGCAAAGTAGGTTTTCCAGAAACAGAAATAGCTGAAAATGAAAATGTCCAAACGCTGTAATAGACGTGGAAATCGAGTACAGAAAGTTAAATTATCAGCCAAAGGTACACTCCTCCCTCACTCGAGCACCTTGCTTAAAAGAACCCTTTATCGGCAGGTTTTTAAATATAATAATAGTTTATTCAGGCAAATTAAAAAATTACTATCCTGCATAACAATGGGCTCATTTATTGCTTTCAGTAAACAGTCTTGTAGGGTAGTGAGATGTACAGAGAATTTAACCGTAGTCTAAACCTACCAGCAAATTCGCCGAGCACGCAGTGGCATCGGTGTGCAAGGATGAGAGCAAGTAGCCACTGGAACACCATTGTCTCTACAGAGTCAAATGAGAAGCCTAGCCTGTCTATGTTTGCTTCAAAATGGCAGGATTGTTCTATCAACGAAAGTATTTTCCCTTTCAAGACAATTCCATATAGTTTAAGTATTCATATAAATGGACAACACTGGGGCACCGATATCGTATACTGAGGGCATGAACGAGTCGAATAGCTTGGTTATTGCATTAAAAAATCAACCACCATTAGGCTATTTTGTTTTGACAACCTCTTAAAACATTCACGGTTGAAGACTAGTTTTGGCAATAACAGAAATGGGTGGTGAAAAGGACGTATAAGCACTCTTCCCCCGATGCTGGAGAGAAAAGAAAAAAGACCGAAGGTAGTAAATTACGTATATCTTTTCAGGATAAGAGGGGTGCGTAATATTCAAGATACGGCTAATTTCCCACACTCTTTACTGGACTTCAAATTGGAGTCCATTATTGCAACTACCAGTAGGCTGTACATGTAAATCTTCATCATTTGTAGCAGTCGGTGTTGCTGCCGGAGTGAGGTATCCTTTAATCAAGAGTACGGGAGGCTCAACAACTTTAAATTGTTCTCGATAAAATTAGATTACGCTTGACAACTGGAAAGGCGTCTTTTCCATATGTACGTCAACACGTACTTGCGCCAAGCGTTGAATATCCGTCAAAATTGCTCTTGGAGCGATTCCGACGGCCGAACGCAACGCACACGTGTGTTTTGTTCACGAAACCCACGAAAGCATCGTGTACACAAGGCATCTCATTATGGAAAGGCCCCTTAAACCGGATATGCTCAGCTAAAGTTGGCTATGAACGCCCCAGGGTGATGAGTCAAAGCCTTGTTTTGCGCGTGCGTGAACAGCGTCGTGATTTAGTCGAACCTAGGGATTATGCCTCCTTCCGCCCCCAGTTGTTTTGAAATATGACAAAGTGTAGTTTGAAATAAGCTAGAGTTTTATGGTTTGACTGACTAGGTGGATTCACCAAAATGGGTGTTTGAACACTCACATGCCCACGTGCAAGGACGTCCAAATGTTTTGTAGAAGACTCCTTCAAACCCAGACTTAAGTGTGCGTTCTCTTCTGAATCGTTTTGCAAAGACCGGGACACTTTCCACAATTATTTCCTTGAAATACTCAGTTCTTCACAATAGATCAAAATCGAAATGTTAACGGTACCCATTTGAAGTTTTGAGTGTACCTGTGAGAAAATGTGCTATTTTGAAACTATTTCATTGCAAAAGAAAAACAATCATAATCATGTCAAAGGATGGGTGTAGTCACAAACTTGATCAAGCACTAGTTTTAATTGGAAACCGCTTTCCGACTCAGACTTTAATTGTTTGGTAGACAAAAATTAAAACAAACTCTGGTATTACATTGATATACAAGATAACAGTACTCCGCAGTTAGAGAGAAATGCAATTGAACTGCAGGCGTCTTATGCTACACGAAATTTTGGGTTCTCTGCGTATTTCGGTCTTAATGTACTTGTATAGTTTGTTTTTCCTTTGGTGATTTCATTCAGTCTCTTTAATTTAAGTAAGATTTAAAACTCTGCATGGTGGAAGTACATGTAGTACATATGATAAGGATTTGCGGGTACAAATCGGTTGGCGTTCTATGAAACAAAACTGTGACAGGTTGAAGACTTAATGAGAATTTGACAATCAAGGCGCAAACAGGCACGAGTGTAAAATATTTTATCGCACAAATGTAGTGCTATAGAGTCGCACGACATGTATGTGAACAACAGTTGAGTTCTGGCCGAAATTGTGTAATTTTGGCGAGTCAAAGTTAAAAATTTCGCTAGATTTGCGGATTTCTCTTAACTTTGTGTCTCCAACTAGTCGCAAGCTGTCGCAGCCCATTTCAATAGGGCTTCATATTGGCAGCTAACCAGTCTACCCAGGCTTGCAAAGAGTACTTTAATGCACCTCAGTAACTACGGCGGTAGTCGTTCCCTCTTCAAGGTCCAGCGGTCTCGCTGCCAAGAAGTGCAACAAGGTAATAAGACGACTGATGCTCAATGATCCGTACAGCTTCAATTTATAGCTAAAACACGCACCTGATGCCACCAGGTCAAAGTGTTCAAAGTTTGCAGCAAAGATGAAGGCTGCCTTAGTTTACAAACTAGAATCCTGGCAAAATCTCGTTGGGCCCCGGACCCCTCTCAATGTTAATCGGTTTGATGCGCGGCCTGTGTCCGAGCAAGTCGCTATGAAGGACTGATGGCCGTGCACAAATTTTAGTGAGGGATATACGTCACATGGGGTCACAGCTGATGATGGGCAGAGCATTGTGGGTAAATATCTGTCAGGCGAACGAGAGAGCTCAAAGATTTACACAAGCGGCGGTTATCAATTCGATAGTTTTTCCTTTTCCTTCCTTATTGTTGAGAATATTCTCACTACATTTTATTCGCCCATCCAAATTTGATCAAGACAACGAATAATTTGAAATATATCACCAAAAGACACTTGACCACTGATACTAATGAGAAGATTAATTACCGCACTGTGATTGTTCCGAGGCCATGCTTTTACTATAGTCGAGACTTTGCGTCAGTTAAACGGTTCTATATGGCGTGCATTTTTTGGTGGGGGAGATTCAGTCTTTGAAAATATAAGGGGAGCGGGCCGCGCGTCTGGCACGCCCGCCTCTAAATCCGCAGGTGTACAAATGAAAATACGACAATGTAAGGTCTAAGATGTTGAAAGTGAATTATGATATGACAGAAAAAGTCTTTGTTCAACCACATCTTATAGGGAAGGAATTTGTTGTAAAGAGGTTGTCTTCACAGGATAATGTGTCTGAAGAGCCACATTCAACAGATCAGATCCACAACACTATATCTTATTTATTTAGCAGCCTTGTTCGGCTGTCATTTTATGCTAGTAAAGAAATCGAGAGAAAACGCTCTAAAAGGATGGGAAGGGAGGAAGTGCGGTGGGCCGGGAACCCCCGAGACCCCGGAAGATTCCCATATGGAAGCCGCTCAATGCGATTCCTTGCGAATTTCAGGAATCCGTGCACCGGAATGCTTGGTTAACACCACATAACTTTTGGATTTTCCCCACACTGCGTTTTTGTGGCAATTCTGCGGCAATTTTCTAGGTTTATATACAGTGAGCTAAGGGATTGATACTGATTTAGGTTTATTTGTAATCTTAATTTGCTACATGAAACCGATCCTAACCGTGTTCCATTTCTTCTGTAAGTGATCTCAGTATGAAAGCTGTGAGGTGTTTAGTGAACGAGTATTATTGATGATTCAACAGTAACAGATCCAGGGGTAGGACAGTCGGGCGGCACTCACCTCCCAATTTTATTGATGGAAATACATTTACAGTATTTGTTATAACAATAAATTTCGTTTGCTTCCAACTGTAGAATAATTTAATTTTACGATGCCAAATCAGTAAAGCTTTAGGTTTTACCATTTGTCGCTGCCAAATGCGCATAGTTTTCCACCACGATAACCCATGTTACATTTATAACCAGGTTTAGAGCTTTGAGATGAAAAAAGAAGATTTTCTTTGAACCTTTCGTTTTACAGAAACTTTGCTCAATGACTTTTAATGGCATGTAGATCAAGATTAATAACAATAACTTGAATGACATGAAAAGGTACACTGAATACAACATTTATGTGTGCAGCAAATGTTCTTCATAACCTAACAAAGTAACATCACTTGCACTTTAGTCCCCAAATAATCTATGCATAAAAATATTCAACTATTTACTTAGTTGAGCCTGTAAGCTGGAATGAAGAATACTTGATACATGTCCGCCAAAAACTGTTCAAATACTAGGAACAACAATAAACCAATCTTTATGTACATATATCCTTAACCTCCTCTTAAGCATGTTATCTTGGACATGTAAATGATTTAACATGAGCAGTCCTTGTAATTAAAAAAAATGTGCAAAAATCTTCGGTCATTATCATAAATTCTTATTCTCATACCTCACATTTTATGTAAAAACGGTGAACTTATCTGCAGAATTCTGCATTCACGACTAAGTACTTGTGCATTCAGTCCATTCGTCTGCATTTTCCTGGTTGTTTCCCTTATTTAAACTCTACAAATCTACACGTTCCAGTTTGCGCACGTATTCTCAATTCCGTGATTGGTTTTTTGTGTACTTTAAAAATAGATCCCAATACGAGAGAAAATTTAAAACGCCAATAGTGTGAAGTCAATAATACAAATGAATACAATCCCCTGTGACAATTTTGATCTTCAGACAACTTTTTGATTTCGTTATACTACGTGCATCTTAAATTTGCCATAGAGTAAATATATTAAAATTATGTAAAAGCACAACTGGTTAAAAAATAAAAACACATCACCCGCAAAACAGACAAGCATAGACTGCGGAGTCGCTGTTCTGTACAGCATTGATATCCGCAGAATGAATGTTGTAAAGCCGGCACTGTTTTCCAGGCGCTATGTCGAAGGACAAGCAGCCGGCCTTGTTGAGGCATCGGAGCGCGCAGAACTGCGGAGTTCCTGCAGCCACGGTGGCTAGGAGCTGGCTCGGGTTGGAGATCAAGCCATCTTGGTGTAGCAGTCTGAAGGTGGCTGGTTTCCACGCAGGTCCTGATAGAATAATGGAAGAAAAACCTTCAAAATAAAGTATGGTAGTTGCTGTAAGGCATCGTGGAGTTTTAATTAACTGAACATGCCGACCCGAGATCTCGTTAGCAGAGACTTTCACGTATGCAAAATGGCGGAAGTTTGGATCAATGGCGCCTTTCCATATGAGCGTCAATACTTGGGCCAAGCGTTGCGTAGCCTAATCGCTTTCACCCCTTTTGTATCCTTTCTTTTCTTTCATTTCTTTTGCTCCTTCCATTTCCCCTTTTCATTTCAATTTGTCTAGCGGGTGAGAAGAGAAAGTCTCCTCCCTCCAATGTACAACGCCCATAATGGAGTACCACTGGAGAAGAATTTTATCGTATTTTAATCGAGTCAGCCTGATTCCTACTCAGAGTGGAGGCCATGTTGAAAAGTTGATGAATCCGAAATAGGGACATTGTTGATACAAGTTTGACATTTCTACGATCCAGAAATCGAGATAGCTAGCCCTACTGCGGGATTAATTGTCAAATTTGCACGCTACATGTCCGAATCAACTGGCTCCGACTAAAGTAACACGACGGGGGTGTCTGTTTACTTATCCGTCTGCTTATTTGTCTTCAGGCGCTTTTTCATTGCATACATTTTTTTGCTGCGTTGCGTACACGATGCGTGCATGCGTTTCAACTGTACGGACACAAAAATCGACTCCATTTACATAACATTATCAAACGTGTGCGTTGCGTTCGGCCGTCAAAATCGACCTGGCAACGATTTTGGCGGATGGACCCTACCAATTTGCCTGGATGAGAACCTCAACAACAGGCTTAACCTTTAAAACGGCTGTGCCACTGGCAAAGTGCACTTTCCAGTGACGTACTAGTCTTCGGCCAAGCTGTGCGCGTACCTCGTGATCTAAACGGTTGCCTTGAGTAAAGGCTAATACCCATAGAAGAGACATGCGGCATCCGTAAGTACGCGCAGTTACAGTTCCGCGGTTCCGCTTTCCGCTCGGCAAGAAACCATTAGAGAGCGACAGAGTATACTCAGAGATGTAAAAATATCTTCCCTTGTGGAAAGATATAGAAAGATTAACATGGGAAAAGCAGTGCGAGTCAGGTCTCTATTTCCAAAAGGAAACGTCAGATTACCTGACATCACGGTAAAGGTGCCTTCCCGCGTGTACGTCAATACTTGCGCCAAGCGCTGTATATCCGTCAAAATCGCTCACGGGGAGATTTTGACAAACGCAACGCAAACGTGTGCTATGTTAATGGAGTCCATTTTTATGTCGGTAAAAGTGAAATGCATGAACGCATCATACGCAACGCACCAAAATACGTACATATGGAAAGGCGCCTTAATTCGAACACGTTCGGTGCGTGTGAGTTTGCGCACGGTCTACGTACTTTCTAAATGAAAAATTGTTAAAAATTACTCTCGAAAAGAATGAGTTTCTCATAAAAACCACTCCAAATGACTGAAAAATAACTCTAAAAGAGTGAAGTCTACTCTTTCAATACGACTGGTCCACAAGAGTGCGCCTGCAAGTGTTTGCAACGCGTTGACCGATCACAGTGCGCGAAATCTGTCAGCCGAATACGCGGTTGGAAAGGGTTGACAGATTTAGCGCCTTGTGATTGGTCAGCACGTTGCAAACTCTTGGAGGCCCATAGATTATCCATCAGGGCATCCTTTTTATATCCTATGATTCTTATTTCCGACCGACCCTATTTTGGGCTCCCCATCACGGGAAAAGTGCTTTTCCCCCCGGCGACCCTGCTGAAAAGACCTACGCCCCCCCCAAAAAAAAAACACCGAAAAATAATGAAGGGAAAACAGCGACGGTCGGCGTTCGCGTGAACATTCGGTATACAGCACCTTTCCGTGGCCCACTGAGGTTCGTGAATAGCCTTACACTTGTCTTGACCCGGACTCGTAGAATGAGATGTTTAATGTGAGCAGCATGGTACCGACCAACAGCATTAGACTTCCTCAGTCCAGCGAGGTATGTTTTGTGGCTTCGAGTAAACAATAAGAACATGTATACCCCATTTGCATGCAAGTATACACACAAAACGTGTTTTTTTCGATTTTTTAAAATACATTTATCTTTGTTTAATACTTATGTATATCAAAAATGCAGAGAGAACGAAAGGGACCCTGTACACGGAACATTGAGGTTTATTCAGTCATTTATACACCAGCAACATGAAATATTTTGAAGGATTTTTGGGGGGACCGACCGACCTTATCTGAAGTGGTAAAAGAAATGAGAACCACAGTATTTAATAAGGGTGCTCTTAAATGAAATCGCCCGTATTAAGAAGCCACGTTGCAATCTCCGACACCACAAACTGACAGTGACACTCATCGGCAAGCGGGCGTCAGCTTGTGAAACCTGACGCACGCACATCTTGGAACTAACGCGAAAGAGACTGATTTTTGTTTTCACGAGGTGACACCCGAGCCCGTTTGGGCAATACAGGGCGGAGAAAAATACTTGGAAAGGTTTGCCAAGGCGTGGTTCTTGAGCACGTGAAATCACCTTTTAACTTTCGGGACTGCGGTTTGGTGTTGTTCTGTTTTTTATTGCATGGTTTTATTTATTAGGGGCTACACAAAAGTTGGAAGGCGGGGTCTATCTCTCTTTTCACATTTGGAAGGAAAGTATTTAGGGGAACATTACTTTCTGAGTAACAACTGTTAGCAATTATTTGCTTAATTACCTCCATTTTAAATTTCAATGAACCCACTCTAACCTTTGATTCTCATTTGGTCGAAACATCGATGTCAAACAGGTGTATCAAGCAGGTGTTCCATGGCACAATGCGAACGCCAGTATTGACATATACCTTGCATAATATCATTAGTGGTATACATCCGTGTGCAAAGTATTTGTAAGCACCCTAGTTGCGGAAAGCCCAACCATTGGAAGATGCCGAAGCGTTTCTCAGTGGTTCGAGTGGTCAAAGCGCCCAGTTTGCACAAGCGTAAGTTGACATTATCGAATGACCAACAACCACAGAGCTATAGATACACGTTGCACTTTTAGCATGCTCAGTTGAAATATTAAAATACTAGGGTTTCTGTCTTCACTATAGCTATATACATGTATAGCTCTGTGGTCTTTACGGAAACCCAAATCACTTTTAGCTGCCGCAACTGACAAAGGACTTACTGCATTCTTTTATCACAGGTTGCCTAGGTTCAAACATGTCAACCGTCACCTCAGCAACATTCACAAAATATCCATAGGTAGAAACGTCCTTGACCAGTGAGACGTATCTTGCCTTCCGAGGTGGATCACACAAGAACACGTGCACCGCCCCTGGATAGGAATCGTTGCTGTCTACCGTCGAGCCGCAAGGTTGGTGCAAGGAGACGTCACTGGTTAGGCCTGTTTGAGCTTCTGTACCTTCAAAGTAAACTCCACCTGAAATGGAAGGCGGGAAAGGAGGTTTACGTGCATTCCAGAATGGTATTCGTTAACTGCGGGCTCCTGGGTGCACTGGGCACACGACCAGCAGGAGTACAACCTGTGGGCTAGACTTCAACCCTCGAGTGAATATAAAACAAGTACGTATAGGTTTTAACACCTTGATACACAAAGCTGAAATTGAAAAGAAAGCATGAGAAGCTGGTGCAACAAAGTCACTCCTTGAATACAAAAATTTGGGACGCCAGACGCTGACTGTTTCTTTTTTTGTTGTTTGTTTGTTTTCCAATTGCAGTTCCAGAGTAATGTGCACCCAACAATCTCAATCTCCTCTTCCCATTGGCTCCTGTGCAGCTTCGCCATAACCTTGTAATCATTTTTACTAATGTTGAAATCAAATTAATACACTGGTCTTATACTTCAGCCTTTTACATACGTGCACTTACACAACAGGTGGGTGCTTCTGTGACCAAAAATGGGGCTACACTGAGCAGAGAAGAATCTATTTCCGGGGTATTGTGTTTATGGAGCTCAAGCTGCATTTACGGAGGCGAAACCTACATTTTGGAGAAGGAAATCCGGAAATTACCTGCACCATTTCTGTTTGTGGCTCTGATTCGTCCCACGTTGTATTCGGCCTGCAAGTCTAATCGCCACCACGGATTTTGATCGCTTTGGCCTGGTATTGGGCAAGGCATTAATTTTGTTATTATGACTTGGAATATGCATGGATCCCAATACGACGCTTTTAGCGTCGATCTGCGCACTTCCGCGTTTGAAAACGAGGCTGTATGTGTCAGCTTCAATTCTTAATACGATCAGACGCTTCAAAGTAAGGAGTCAAGACGCAAAATACATGAAGGTATGTTAAATTCAGACTTTTCAGGTTGAAAGTGTTTGTAGAAGAGTCTTTCAGGAACACTCGACACGTAAAATCCAAAGAAAAATAGCGACAATTGACCGCGAACTAACGTACCTGCGATGGTCGTGTATCTTGTACAGTGGGCGTGGTTTAAACTGAAGTGGCGTAACACTTACGAACCGGATACTCCATGTACTGTGTGGACTCCGCGGGCGCGCGCGACAAAGTTCAACGCAGAGAGCCTCGGTTTCGATGCAGATATGCGCAGACGGCGCTAATGTAAAATCCCTCTATTGGACATTATCTTTGAAAAAGGAAATTGGTTTATTGGTGGTTTGCAGTGGAATCACTGTCACTGTGCTATTCAAGGGTGATCTGGCGTCTTTCACAAATAACGAAGATATTCAACAACAAAATTTTGACGTTAAACTAGGGCGATCTGGTACCCTGACTCGGAGACAAACATTAGCCAAGCCCGGGTTTGTGGAGTAGGAAATCGCAAAGGGACGGCAATTTTACAAAAGTAGACGCACAAGTGTGAAATAGTGGGTTAGCGGGATGAAAACTGTATTTAAAAATGGACAACAGCAACTTATGCTATGCGCCTTAAGACCGATCACAATATAGCAAAGTAAGCCTGGTTTCCATATCGACGTAAGAAACGCAGAAAGCAACACAATCAAGACACAAACTGCAACACAAACATATGGAAACGTGTCAAACGGAAGTATCGCCAATAAAGCCCGGTTTCTATAGGCCTATAGTCGTTTGTAACGCAGACGGTTCGGAAGACGTCAAGTTGCAGACAGTCGTGGAAGAGACACTGTGCGACGTCATTCCACCAAAAAACTTAAACAAAATGGCGCCCAAAGCTCGGAAGACTTTTGCCCAAAAATGCCTTTTTAGGTGGTAATGTTGCCTCTTGAAGCCAAACTGATACTCCAGTTTGATGTAATTTGTCAATGGTCAGTAATTTTGTTGACGATTGCGGCTGCATATGCTAGCAATAAAGAGAAAATTGACAAAATGAGTGGTACTAAGCAAGAGAAATATTGTTTTGCGCCCGTCATGCCAGCGTGCGTGTCTGTATAGGCCTACTCAGCGACTCGACGAAGACAGTCGGAAAAGTTGAACCAGGCTCACCTTTGCAGATCCGTTTGGCATATGCAGCAAGGTATGAGACGGAGAGAACCCCCCCTGCTTTGTGTTGGTCATTGTCTCGCAGGAATCTGGGGAATTCCTTTCTGACATCTTAGGGGGATATGTGTTAAGTAACAATAGACTGGAATGTGTATAGGGATTGGACATGTTGGGGGGCGTACCCCTCGGTCTCATTTCTTGCTGGGTATACGTTTGGGGCTGGTTTGCGTCAGGTGGCGACGCTTCTGTTTGACATATTTCCATTTGTCCGCGTAGCAGTTTGTGTCTTGATTGCGTCAACTGTGTTTCTCACTTCGATATGGAAACTAGGCTTAACTCAAACTAGCCTTCGACGAATCGAAACAGTTGAGCCCAGTTCAACCTTGCCGACTGTCTGCGTTGAGTCGCTGAGTAGTCCTATACAAACACGCACACTGGCATGACGGACGTACAACGATGTTTCTCTCGCTTAGTACCACTCATTTTGTCCATTTCCCCCCTATTAATAGCATCTTGACGCTTGCGTCTTGACGCCTTGCAGACCGTCTGCGTTACAAATCACCATATGGAAGCCAGGCTGAAAAAGCTGTGGGATTCATGGACTGGTGTTGATATCATTCTGTGGTGGCTTGGCACATGCACACGTACTCACATCGCCTACACAGGTTTACCATGTTGTCGCACAATACCCTTTACCATTTTTGAGACATGTAATTTTACAAGGTTATGCTCTCGCAGTATCTCATTCTTATGTTATTCTGTACCTTGATACATTGCTTATAAACCATGCATATAGTTGTTATGTTTGAAAAAAAGTGAGATAACTTTAATCCCCTCACGCTGTTAAACTTAAGTAAGGAATAGTGTACAAGTCTTGTTACTTTTGTTATATACTCACTTGTACATTGGAACGTATTTGGATTACCGTCAGTAGCGTAGCTTGCACTGTAAATGCCTTGATAAATGCTGCTTTGCAAAGTAGGTTTTCCAAAAACAGAAATAGCTGAAAATGAAAAAGTTCAAACGTTGTAATAGACATGGAAATCGAGTACAGAAAATTAAATTATCAGGCTGAGCCAAAGGTACACTCCTCCCTCACTCCAGCACCTTGCTTAGAAGAACCCATTACTTAAAGAAAGAATTATTATAATAACAGTTCAATTAGGCAAAAATTTATCATACACAACAATGGGCTCATTCTATAAAGCAAAACAAAACATTTTCGCTTTCAGTAAACAGTCCTGTGGTAGAGATTTGCAAAGAACTCAGCAGCAGTCTAAACCTACCAGTAAATTCGCCGGGCACGCAAAGGCATCGTCGTGCAAAGTTGAGAGCAAGTAGACACTGGAACACCATTGTCTTCACAGAGTCAAATGAGAAGCCTGGCCGGCCCATGTTTTCTTCAAAATGGCAATATCTTTCCACCAGCGAAAGTATTTTCCCTTTCATGGCAATTCCATAGTTTATTTACGTTTATGTACGTGGACGACACTAAGGCACAAATATCGTATACTGAGGGCGCACACGCGGAATATATTGCATTAGAAAAATTCAAGACACTTTAGAAAGGCTGTTTATGTATAACGGTCGGTTTTTAATGGCATTAAAGCTCCATTTCCCACAAAATTACCACTCCAGGGTAATTAAAGGGATTGAATTATCCCCGATAAAACTGGCACATCCTAATTGCTCCCATTCCTCCACCATTAGGCTATCTTGCTTTGATAACCTCCCAAAAAGTAACGATTTAACGATGGTTGATGACTAGTTTGGAATGGGGCAATAACCGGAATGATGATGACAAAGACGTATAAGCACTCTTCCCCTAATGCTGGAGAAAAAATTAAAGGGTAACAGAAATTGAAGACATTTAGTCTAAGAAATACTGAGAACTGAGAAAGTGCTTGAAGATGGACCAAAGTACATCGAACACGCACAACGTGCTATTGCAAGCGTGGAATACTGCATGTACATGTACAGTGCACAATGTACATGTACACTGTACATGGCAGCGTTCTGGCGATGACGTCATCCAATCAGCCTAGGAGCGCGAACGGCCAAATTGGGATTTTTTTGTGGGTGCAGGATCTTTTTATTCATATTTGGGTCACAATTAATAGGGTAAACATTAAATGTATGATGTTTTGAAATGTTTACGTATTTGTTACTATTTTGAAATACTTCACGTGAACGAAATAATTATTTCCAATTTCTGTTGCCTTTTAAAAGACCGAAGACATTATGCACTTAATTGCCTCAAGATAACAGAGGCGCGTAATATTCAAGATAAGGCTTATTTCCGACACTCTTTACTGGACTTCAAATTGGAGTCCTTTAATTAATGCAACTACCTGTTGGCTATACATGTAAATATTCATAATTTGTAGCGGTCGGGCGTATCCAGCATCCAGAGTATGGGATGGTAACCAATTTTAAATTGCTCTCGGCGCTTGACAACTGCAAAGGCGCCTTTCCATATGTACGTCAACACTTGCGCCAAGCTTTGTGTATCTTTCCACATCGGTCCAGGAGCGATTCTGACGGTGGAATGCCAATTAAGCCAATTTTTGTGTCCGTGAAAGTGAAACACATGATAGCATCGTGTACACAACGCATCTCAAAAACGTAATATGGGAAAGCTCCTTAAGCTGGATATGCCAAGCTAAAGTTGGCTATGAACCCTCCGGGTTAAAGCGTCAAAGCATTGTTTCGCGCATGCATGAACATTGTAGTGATTTAGTCCAAACTTTGAATTATGTTGTTTTAAATATAACACAGTTTAGTTTGAAATACGCTAGAGTATCATGGTTTGGCTAACCAGTAGATGGATTTACCAGAATGAGTGTTTCAACACTCACCTGCTCCCGTAAAAGGACATCCAAATGTTTTTGCAGAAGACTCATTCAGGCTCAGATTTTAATCGTGCGCTTTCTTCTAAATCGTTTCGTGAAGACCGGGACATTTTCCACAATTAGTTCCTTGAAATAATCAGTGTCTCACACTAGATCAAAATTTCTGTACCCATCTGAAGTTTTGAGTGTACCTGTCAAAAATGTGCTACTTTGAAACTCTTTCATTGCAAGAAAAGACCAATCATGACCATATCATGGACATAATCATGTCAAAGGATGGGTGTAGTTATAGCTTGTAAAATCTGACAGGTGCAAGAAGGAAAACTCGACCAAGCACTAGTCCTAATTGGAAAACGCTTTCAGATTTCGACTTTAATTATTTGGTAGACGAAACCTGAAACAGAATTCTGGTAATTATATTTATATACAACGTAACAGTATTCCGGAGTTACAGAAAATTTCAATTAAATTGTACAGTTTGTTTTTCCTTCATTGATTGAATTCAGTTTCTTTAAATTAAGTAAGATTTGAAACTTTGCATGGTGGAAGTACATGTGGTACATATGGTAAGGATTTGCGGGTACACCATGGGATCTTATCTCTTTAAGAAAAAAGAACTAGTAAGTGTCAGCTCGATGTTTCGAACAGGAAGGCACTCACTGGTTCTCTTCAGAACCCTACCTCTTTTGAAAGAGATAGACCCCACGGTGTACCTGCAAATCCTTACCATATACATGCATGTCTGACTCAATTTCGTCAGTTTACCGCATGTTCTCCCCGTCCCTGTAAGTGTCAGCCTCTCTTCAAGTAGGTAAAAATTCCAAGCTTTATCAGCTGAATTCAGCAAAACAAGTGTAAATTTTTGTTGGGTAAGAAATTGTGTCACAGGCCTGGGGTGCATAT